TACGAGGATGTCCGCCTTAATGTACACTCTCGGGATGAGCAAATATTCATGAAGTCTCTTTGACGATATTCTTAAATAAGATTTTTGACACCATTGTGCAGATCGTTGGGTAAAAATTTGAAGAGAATTTTTTTACAATTTCTTCATCCGTTTAGTAAATCTCCGTCATTATGGCGCCTAGAATATTCATCCAATACCCTGTTGCGTCAAGGTCATCCACAGTAGCAGCGCTGATCTTGCGGGCAGTAAAGAATCCTCACACGAGCATTCCACGGTTGGAGAAGTCCAGGTTTGAAGATGCCAGTGCTCGTTTAAAGCAACGTCCAGCACTTGGACAAGTAAGACCTGAGCCTGCTCCCACAAACCAAATACGAGCAGTCAAGACCGCACAGATACCAAAAATCAGAAGACGAAGATGCAGTCATTGAAACGAGAATACGGTTACGGGAGGCCATTGCGCTTGCAGATGGATAGCAGACATGAGGACCATGACTCAGTCAGATCGGGCCTCACGCAGTTCTCGTCTATTGCGTGGATTTTGGCCTTCAGAGACTTGAAAACATAGCCGAGTGCTGTCGAATGATCCGCCAGCTGAGGACTGTCGCCTCAACCTCCACACTGCTGCATTCTCATCTTTTCGTGTTTAGAGTAACCTCACGGTGTTTCCAATGTAGTTACTTTGTCGGCAACTGTGCCAAATCCGGTAAACGACCTCTGACGTTTCCTGCCATGGCAGTGGGTCTTTTGGCCCCATGATCTGGCGCCAGATAATTAGTTCCGACTTGTGTGCGACCCAAGTGGGGTGAGTAGACGACTGACTGCTTCTGAGGAATTTTTCACCTACCGAAGGGGCTGCTAAAAGTTGGGGCCGGTTAGATTTAGATTTGGTGCCGTTTTCGCATGCATCGGTTGAAATAATTGCGCGGACGATCACAGAGTATATTGTAATTTATCAACCTTGTCTTCGGTTTCAATATAATGCGTCTCAGCGCGCAGGTATAGCATCCTTATGTGACTGCTTTTGTGATCGATCGGGTTGTTAGTGTTGGAATTCAGTACTTGCGTCCTGATTGTCGCTTTCCACAACACAATGTTTTTTAGGCCACCACAAATTTTGCGGTAGACGTGGATATCCAGAAAGGCCAGCTGGTTGTTTTCTTCATCTTGCACCGTAATTTGAATGACAAGGGAAACGGCGTCGAGAAGGTCTTTGATTTCCAGCGGGAGGACTGGCCTATAGGCAAGCTGCGTTAACCTCGAAGACAAAGCCGCCTTTACACAAAACTCCCTGAGAGGAAATAATTTCCAAAAAATTACGCCATAATGTGCATGCAGTTGGGCATAAGGATCAGTCATGTGTAAGTATATCATGAGAATCACACTGAGGAGTACTCATTGCAGTCTGGGTTTTATTTCCGAAAAGGGTGAGTTTCCCCTGCAGTCGGCAACTTCCCAAACCAGTTATTATATTGCCACCGTAAACTCGAGCTAATTAGTTCCATTATAGCGAGGGGTATGCAGATCCATCAAGATTGTGCATTTCTAATGCGGAACTCTGTCTCCCTCCGTCTTCAGTGCAACCACCACCTGCCAACGCCTGTTAGCCCATTAACGGTGAATTAGGCGATCTGTGCAAAGACACAAATAGAATTAGTATTAGGGTAGTTCCAGTAGGGTGCAGCTTTTGATTAACACTCTCAATGTCGCTGGAATAGACCCTACAGCCAACCAGGCTGATGTGGTGTTTCAAATAATTTGATGTACATATGCAACAGAAAAGCCATTGGGAATCTGTGGCTTTAATTTGATCGGTTGAGAGGCAGTTGACTTAACCAATCACACTGACCATAACCTCTAGCCCTAGCCCCCAACTCTAACACCTAGTCCCAACCCCAATCCCCGACCATTAACCCCAATCTCTAACCATAAATCTTGATCATAGCCCCTAACCCCAACAGTATTGTGTTCATCTGAGGGGGCTACATAAGTACATTTTCGACATACAGCCTGACGGTTTCTCTCTAAACTTAACTCAGACTAGAATACTGGCGCATTTCTTTGTCTGTGCTTGCGAGTAGGAGGTCCGGATGCGTTCAAAACATATTTGATTTAGGCACGTAAGGGATAAAATTATAAAATTTGTCCAGTTTTAATTTATATTGAAGACAGATTGAAGCTTTGAATTGTGTATGCAATGAGACAGCACACGCATAATCGTAAATATTGTAAGGCACAAGCTGCATTTACACCGTTGCAATGAGCCGGATGTTTAGTTAAGTTTGGGCCATTCAAGAAAATGTGTGGAATACATCAAGATGGGTGCGCCGTCGTAGGCCAGAAATCGGTAGGTTTCTTTTTTCCCAGCGTCATATGTCAGAGAAAAGGCTAGGTTCTCAGTCTTCACACGTCCCGTTACCCGCATGATTTTATAGTCCTCGATGTCGACTTGTTCTTAAATGGAAAATGAAATTATCCATCTCCGCCAGATCTTGAGCATAGTAACGTGAAGCGCAACTTACCATAGGGGATAATTATCTTCAGTCCCTTCCTGGCTGATGACGTCCCATATCTGCTGATATTTCCCAGCAGCCTGATCTCCTTGAAATAGAAAATTTGATTCATTTAAGACTTCGCATCTCAATCAGGATTTTGATTGTAAATGTAAATGTTAATTTACAGAAGAATTACAGTATAAATGAAATGAATGTGGTCTTTTGGTACCTTTATGTTTTCATCCATGACCACAGAAATTGGTCTCGAATAGGCCGGGTGTGAGACAATGGGTTTTATGTAATCAACATCGGGGATCTCTGATAACATAAGAAAAATCTGAGTTGTGGAATTGAAATGACATATATTTGAGGAAGATTTTCTTGCTGTTTGGTTTTATTAACGATTATCAGATATCACGACTTTATATACAGTAGAGAATTTTGAATATATACCTGGGAAGAATTCCCCTTCGTTCACTACGACGATCGCAATTTTTGCCTTTTCGGGATTTTCGGGTGTGAGAATAACCGCAGAGTAGTTTTCGTAAGTTCCGTCTTTGATCAGAAAACTCCTTCTTCCTTTTTTCCGAAAAAAAACAATTCACGAATTAGCTATCCTTAATATTTGAATTTACAATTTGCAGACTACCATTTGTGATCTGACCATCTATTCGAAAAACCCCGATTTAATGGCCTTTGTTTCGTGGGTGTGTTTGAGTTTGCGAATTTGAAGTGACAAATTGTAGAAGACTCAACAACTCACTTGGATAGAATTCTACACATTTAGTCGGAGGTTCGCAGGGATGTCCTCCCGATCGATGCAAAAATCCTGATTCGGAAGACTTGAACTGTACGGAGAAAGCCACAGTAATATTTCGATTTTACATTTCTTAATAAAGCAAATTTCGACATTTTACATACCCGGGAGGATGCTGGCACCTCGTAAGCAATGTCGATGTTGGTATGCCGCTTAGCAGCTAGCAAAAATCCAGCTGCAAATGGGGAGATAATTGTCAGAACTTGTCGACTTACAACAGCTACAGAATCGGACATTGAGCAAGATCAGGGCAATTGTCACAGTCACGAGGATCATTGAATGTCGGATGATGCAGACTATGTGCGGTAGCTGAGGTGAAATCAAGTGTTCCTGCTTCATTTAGCGGACCTATGAGTCTTTTTATACCATGCCTATGAAGGGTCCATCTCACTATCCAACAGGTGTCGTCGTCCTTGAGCATCAGACTGTTTTCCTTGGAAGCTATGTCTTTTTTTATTATACATTATTTTGGCAGTTGTTTTGCTCCATTTCGTGCCTGCGCGGAGCGTTGGCCCTACACAGCACAATGCAACCAGGTACTTGTCTGAGTCGCTTCCCCGCGCACAGAATCAAAAGCATTTTTTTCACGTTTTGTTAGGGAAAACTAGGCACTAGTTTCTGCGCCTTCATCTTGATTCTAAATGTTTTTGAATGCCAAGAGCTAAGAGATAGCATATCACATGCTTTATAGAATTATCCAGCAGTGGGGATTTTTGGCTCATTTAAAAGGTCTTTAGTCCCTCTTTTGCAATGTATTTCGATTCTGCCTTGAGTTTTTGATATGCTTTTTTGCCGAAGACGCCGATCGCGCATCAATTGTCGACAAGATAGGATAGTTAAGAGTTAATAATGATAGAATCTACCGGAATGCACATAAAAAACCCTAGGGACTCATGCGTGAGCTAAACCCTTAAAAACTCTTCCATGCAATAGCACAATATCGGTAAACTGGTTTTTGGGCTTTTAGCTCCTACGTATGCCCCCCGTCATGAAGTAGATACTCCGTTCACGCATGGACACAAACTCTTCCGTCAAAACCAGCAATAAGGCCCAATGCCATTAATAACGCCGTGGTAGTCACAATGGGACCGTATAATTTCTCACATTTAAAGTCGGAAACAGACGGAATTTACTCGACTAGGCAGAAGGCTGCAGCGAGTTTAAGTCTCCGGACGACAGTAAGAGGTCAGAACTAGCCGTCGCATATGACGAGGATGTCAAGGAGCTTTACCTAGAAGAAAATGAAGATGCGATCACAGGAATAGGCATATTGCCCGGACGTTTAAGATTCTTAGTTGATCTCAATATCAGAAACAGCCGTTGTGTAGGATGGCATGCGTACGGTATATTCCATGCAGGTCAAATCCAACCGGCACTAGGATTTGGTATGCCCTTCTGTGTTTGAAGAAAGCCTCAGAAGCTGCCTCGATTGAAGTTTAGCTTAAACGGGAGGCAACTTTCAGGCGACAAGTTATGAGGCCGAAAGACCAGCTGTCAAGACAAGGAACGTCTGCAGTCGTTTACCGCGTCTGGTACAGTAACAGATAGATCACCTATGGCAGAGAAACTGGTGGATTACTCTGGAAATCAATGGTCGAGCACGTAGCAGTAGCAATGTAAATAGACGCAATCAGGCCACGTTTTCAAGCTTCAAGAGGCCGAACTCCTCGTAATAGGTAACTGCGTTGGCCGCGAACTGCTCCAGTCATGCGTCTCAGGCCAACAGTCCATTGACAAGCGTAATGACCTCCCTTTACCATAAACGGTGCTAAGACGTTCCCTGAGTAGGGGAAGCAATTACGGGGGTACGTGGGCAAGCAGAATGACCTTACAATATCTGATATTTAAAGCGAGTATCAAACAAATTTTTTTCTACTAGTCAGAATGATGTAGCGAACTCGAGTCTACGGACGACGATAGGACGTCATAGCAAGCGGTCATATTTGTCGTGGATGTTAAGGAGCTATTTCTAGAAGAAGAAGAAGAAGAAGAAGAAGAAGAAGAAGAAGAAAAAGAAGAAGAAGAGGAAGAAGATACAACTGAAGGAACAGGTATACTGGTCTGACGTATCGAATTTTCATTGGATCCCATTATCAGAGACAGTCACTGTGTGGGACGGCATGCGTAATATAACTGCCACGGGCGGCCACATCCAACTGGCACTAAGTATTGGCCTGCACTTCTGTACTTGTAGAATTCCTCGGAAGTCGCCAGTCTCCTTCATACTTCACTCGAAGTTGGGGTTACGCCAGAGGCGACGTGCAGACGCCAAGTTATGAAACCGAAAGATCAGCTGTAAAGACAGGAAACGTCTGAAGTCCTTTACCGCCTGTAGTGGAGGCCAAATCCAACCGGAACTAGGTTTTGGCATGCTCTTCTGTACTTGACGGAAGCATCGATAGCCGGTTAAATCAGAGTTTATGTTACAGGGGAGGCAACTTTCGGGCGAGAGGTTAGGAGGACAAAAGTCCAACTGTCAAGGTAAGGAAGGTCTGCAGTCGTTTACCGCGTCCGGTACAGTAAAGGATACAGCAACTACGCTAGAGAAACTGTTGGGTTACTCTAGAAAGGAATGGACGAGATCGTTGCAGTAAAAAGACGGAATCAGACCACGTTTTCAAGTTTCAAGAGGCCGAACTACTCGTAATATGTAACTGCGTTGGCCGCGAGCTGCTCGAGTCATGGGTCTCAGGCTAACAGTCCATTAACAAGCGTAATGACCTCCGTTTACCATAAACAGTGCTAAGACGTTCCCTGAGTAGGGAAAGCAATGATGGGGAGGGAGACGTGGGCTGAAAATTTAGTGCAAAGCGCATGCCGGACATAAAAAGAGGAATGTTCACGACTGCAGTCCACACTTGGAGTGAAAGTTTACCTTACACCTTACATGCAACAGGTAATTATCGAGTCGTTTTTCCCATAGGAGGACAGTTCATATAGGAGTCATGAAACAAATGCTATGTCCATAAATGGACACAAACTCTGCCGTCAAAACCAGTAATAAAGCCAAGTGTCATCAAAAACGCCAGCGAAGTCGCAGTGTGACCTTACAATCTCTCATATTTAAAGTCAGGATCAAACGAAGTTTACTCGACTAGTCAGAATGCTACAGCGAGCTTTAGTCTACAGGCGAAGATAGGACGTTAGAGCCATGGATCGCATTTGCCGAGGATGTAAAGGAACTTTTCCTAAAACAAGAAAATAAGAAGAAGAAGAAGAAGAAGACACGACCATAGGACGTTTCGAATTCTCATTCGATCCCATTATCAGAGACAATCACTGCGTGCGACGGAATGCGTACTATAACTACCACGGGAGGACACATCCAACTGGCAGTAAGTTTAGTCCAACTCCTCTATACTTTAATAATTCCTCGGAAGTCGCCGGTCGCCTTCTTACTGCACCCGGAGTTAGGGTTACGCCAGAGGCGACGTTCAGATGCCAAGACATGATGCCGAAAGACCATTTGTCAAGACAGGAAGCGTCTGAAGTCGTGTACCGCGTCCGGTGCAGTAGCGGATACAGCAACTACGGCAGAGAAACTGGGAGATTATTCTGGACACGAGTGGTCGGGCACGTACCAGCAGTAATGTGAGAAGAAAGCATCCGTCCACATGTCCACGTTTCAAGAAACAACCGCGTGGGTCTAAATCTGTTCGAGTCAAAGTTCTCAGGCCCGCAGTCCATCAACCAGCTTGATTACCGCCCTTTACCATAAACGGAGTTCTTGTTCATGTGATTGTATCTTCTCTCCTGAACTGCTTCCAGCAACTCGCTCGTTTACTTCCATTGGCAATTTTGTCAACTGGACTCCATGAACAAACTAAAGTCACCATGCTGTAGTTATTTTTGGAAAAATCCCGGGGATTACTGTTTGGTCACTCAAGAGTGACTCATGGGTGTTAAACACACCGATGTAACAATAAAACGAAGAGCTAAATCGTTCAGAGTAGACAAAAGGGAAAAGTACAAGTGCCCCAGTTTGTGTGAGTGCACCCCAAAACAGGCCACATGTTAAATGCGCTAGACCAACACGGGGGCCATATTGGACTCTGGCAGGCGTTATTGGCTATGCGCAAAGTAACAAATGCCAACATTTCGGGGTGCGGTGGCAGACCCGGTGTCCGGCAGCTATCGCAACATTGGGACCTTGTTAATCTCCATTGTTATTGCAAATCAAAAACCTGCTTAGTTGTTGTGTGGACCAGGAGGTGTGGAGTGGAACGCCAAAGTGCAGGCTAGACCGTGCCATCCACCTGGCCCTACCCCACCTCAGGTCTTCTTGACTCTGTCTGGACACCGGGCCCAAGTGCGGCAGGAGGAGAGAGTGTGGCGGGTGCCGTGCAAGTTCACTATTACCATAAGCTAATTCACGTGCAAATCATCTAAATTATTCGGCAGACATATGTGACACGTTGCAAGTAATCCGTCTGGACGTGTTTGCAATGCGCATGCGGTCAATAGGCCCTGCTGCCAACATCATCCCTCCTTCCGAAACACAAACTTTGGGTCGTCATGACAGGACAACTATTTTGCCTACAGCAATTTTTGAAGTCTGAAGCACTTTCGCGCCAGCCACGTCTGGCGTAAGTCACACGCTGTTAACTCACCTTACCTTACGACAGCTTATAGCCCCACCGGATTGAAACACGTACACGCGCACTAACGAAAAACGCCTGCCTGCGCAGTGAAACAGTCGCGTGAAAGTGGGGCGTTTGCGTCTTTATTACGTTCAGTGTTTTGGCCCGCTAATCCTGATCTTTCGTGAATCATTACGCTGGGCAACGTGATTGATTCACTACGTCAATGACTGTTTACCCCGGTGAATATTAGAAATTGTAGAGATTTAATGACTGATTGGCGAATTCTGTAAGTTTTAGTCTTCTAATTATGTAAGTCGATGTAATTACATGAATATGAAAAGCAAGGAATACCAAAGGATCCGTCCACACAAATCTAAAAGATATTCCTTTTGTTTCTAAATAATAAGTGTAAAGATCGGAGAACGTTTATTGGGAATGTACCAGGTCAGTTAATTTTGGCTTTGTTCGGTATGCGTCTTTAATGCGTTGTGAAAATTAGATCCTGCAGTCATTCTGAGGATGCAGCCTTCGCACCGGCTCTATCGAAAATACTTGCAAAGGGAAATTTTACCTTTCAGTGGATGCACTAAATATAAATTTTTCTTACCAGTGCATATATTTGTAGCCACCACTGTATGGAGATGCAACGGACTGACTCGAATTAAGCTGTTCTAGGCTTTACAAATGGCAAGGAAACCGAGTAACCGGCAGTAAACCCATCCCTACCAGTGCAAAATCGATCGATACTCGACGTTT